TTTTTACTCTGTATCGGCAAGTACTCAGATCCAAGTATCGGTTTGAAAAAATGGGAACGTTGCATCCCTAGTAAATTGTGTATTATTACTTGATGCACTCGCTTGCCCATTACAGTCACAGTTTAGTCGCCCATGGTTGATTTGTTTTCCTTTATGTTGTTTTATTTGATGAAGGGATTATAAAAACCACAAAGTTCTCCTTCCAGGTGACGATAAGAAAGGTGTGAAGCAGACAATGAGGTACAATCTCTGACACTTTTATTTTGGAACTATTCAACTAGACGGTTGAATCCAGACTCTGACTTTGAATAATGACATCAGCTGCATTTAGACTGATTCCATGTAAGCCTGACTTTAACGATGCAGCTCTGTCAGCCACTGCAGGTACAGGATAAGAGATCCAGTGTTGTTTATTGCAGAAGCCCCCCTGGCAGGGACAAGACTGTCTGAGGTTAATCCTGGTTGAAATGTTTGCGTTTGTTTTCTGTCTCATTTTCATCGTACACTGAAAAAATTGAGCTCCATCAAAAAGTCGGCTGAGGTCTTTTGAGGTCTGCAGGACATTACTGAGGAGCACTGTGGTGGTTTCTGTAGGCTTTTATGTGGCTGTCTGCCACAGAGGGGCAGGAAACGGCTTACAGTTAATGAGGGTCAGCTCTGTCCTGGACAGAGGAGATGAGTGAGAGGAGGATGTTAGCCAAGCTAATGTCCATTATGGACAGCACCTCTCACCCCCGGATGGGACCGTGGAGCTCAGCTCCTTCATCCCAGCAGCAGTCAGGCTGAGCTTTATGCACACAGGAGGTATAATTTTTACTCCCACACGTTATATGAATTTAGTCATATATAGTAACCATTTTTCTCAGTACAAACCACTCTTTTGTACACACTGTTTATTTCTAATGTCTCTTATTCACTTTTCTCCATTAAAATGAACGTTTTACACTTTAGTTCTGGGGGAAAATGACGTCTAATCACATGTCGTGAAGTCAGTATTTTAGGCATAAATCTTTTATTTTGTACCTCCCACCCCGTTAATGGCTCGGTCTAAATCCAGGCGTCACGTGACACCGCTCCGTTACTCAGACCTGACTCTCTTGCCAGCACGTGGGGGTTTCTGGAAGGGAAGAAACCGTCGCTGTTGCCATAACAACGGCTCTATACCTCTCCCTCCTCCTCTTCGTTCTCCATCCCTCTGCTGCTGTAATGCATAATACCCTCCTCCTCCTCCTCCATGCACCTCCCCCCCAGCCTTCACCCATCCCAAAGACTGATTAGCGCCGCATCCTTGCGCTGACACGTCACGTAATTTCTGGAGCTCTGTGTGTGTGTTTGTGTGTCCTCACTCAGGAATGTGAAGCTCTGCTCGTTCTTAAAGGTCGAAAAGAAGATTTTCTCCCCTTGTGTGATCGTGAAATCTCTCCGATGTGGGAGAGAGACCATCTCTAACCTGTCAGTAGAAGGAGGCGCTTCGAGGAACTCAGGAAGGAGCGCAGGATTTCTCCTCCAGAGGAGGTTTCTTTGTACAGGTAAACGGGACTACGTTTGTTTCACAGGGAGAACAGACGGCCAGTAGGGCGCTGACGGTTCGGGTTCGACAGATTCGCGCTGTGAGACCGGAGGTGAGTTTAAAGACGGCTGCACTGCTGGAACGCACAGCGGGAAACGCGCACTTTTCCCAGAAACGCGCGGGATCACCGCCCGGTGCGTGCCACCTGTGCAGCTCATGCGCAGACAGCAGCCAAACCACGCATATGTGCGCGCACAGCGGGTGATTTCATAAGAGGGAAACCACAAGACTCTTCCCCGAAAGGTTCTGCAGACAGCAATAACTCCGAGAGACGCGATACTGAGTCTTCCAAAGCCAAAGAGAGGCGCACGCTTCCCACTGCTTCCACTTGGCCCAGCCGAGCTCCGCTCCTCCGTTTTTAAACTCAGGTTGCCCACGAGGACAAAGTCAGCTCGGTGTTTCTCGTGGATTCATGAATGCAACATTTTGAAAGACTCTCGAGCTGCGCAGTCATCACCAGCTCTCACAAACTTCACGTCTTCCATTCCCAGCACTGTTTCCATCATCCCCCACCAGCTGAGCGTCAAACACCGGGCTTCCATTGGCTCTTACATTGTGTGGTGCATGCAGTGTCAATAAGGAGACCCGAGGGTGTGCCGCGGAATATAAATAGTTGAACAAAGAGGCCGAAACCTGAGACCTGGTCTGATTCTTCCCTCTGGTAACTCTAGATGCTCAAACACTGAGAGGCGCACGAACGAACTGCTGCTGATGTGAGCTGTTGTTGAACCAGGAGCAGAGCAAGAGGAGGACCCACCCACACCACCCACCCCTCAGATAAACAGGAGGCGACTTTTAGTCACAGTTGGGACGTCTTTGGTGTGTTTATGCTCTGAGGGTTTCCAGATCTGTCCTGTCTGTGTATGTGTGTGTCTGTGTGTGCACTGTTGAGAGACGCCACCACCCCTCTGTCCTCTGTCAGGATGTCCGCGGTGAAGGAGCTGCTGCTGCTGCTGCCTCTGGTCCTCCTGCCACTTGAAGGTGAGTGGTGACCTCGATGGTTTCTGTTGAGGTGTTTTCTGCTCTCCGTGTGCGTCCGACTGTTTGTTGTTCCACCGTGGAGCCAAACGCCCAGCTGTTCAAAATTTGAAATGACATGAGACCAGGTGGCGGCTTTAAAATGCCGAGCGCAAACGCACTCACACATACCGACGCAGCATCTGGTGTGTATCTTAAAAGTCAGGAACAATGTGTGCCTGTGTTCACAGAGTGGAGCCTCCATTAATGACTGCTTTTCATTATTTATTAACATGCCCATGATGTTTGGTTAATCGTTGTGAAATGGATGTCGTCCAGTTTTACGTCGATAAACAGACCGAAGCTACAAACAGGCTGGAGAAGCTGGAGTCAGCGAGGATAACGTAAACAATTAAATGATCGATTAACTGGCAAAGATCAGTAACAATGATGAGCTCCTGCAGAGCGCCCTGCTCTCTGAAGTTGAAGCTTGTTTTATTATTTGTATGGAAACCAGGTTTAAAACTGGACTTGATCCTTTTGTTTGGTTTTAAGGTGCAAGGGTCCCAGGACAAAGATCAAAGTTGTGTTCAAGACATAGCTTTTCTGTCCTTCTTGGAATTGCTTTAGGTCGTTCTTTTAAGGACTCGGAACAAAAAGCAAACCAAACATCAAAAGCTCAGGAAAAGATGAGCCAAATCGAACTAGAACTGATGCCTTTTGCATGCAGCACATAATGAGACAGAATTCACACAAAGATAAATGTTGCTCGCACAAACACGGCAGGCGCTCGGTACCATTAGTCTGCGTGGGTGGAGTGAATGTTGTGTCCAAATCATCTTCTAACCAGATAAGTTGTCAATCAAATCTTGTATCGAACAAAGACGTGTGTTTGCTCTGTAACCAACAGTCTGACTGGTTACTGTTGAAACAACAACATCTGTCCATCTTTGGTGCAGTTTTTGCTGTTGAAACATAACGAGCGGGATAACCTCATGGCGTCTGCCATGTTTGCTAGCATCTGCACCTTCTGCCAATTTAGAGTCACCAGGTAACCTAACATGTCAGGTACGAGGTGCACAAAGAACAAAGACCTCAGGCTGTCACTCGATGAAGCGTCGAGCCAGCGATGGACAAACCAGCATGTTTCTATGTTTTGCAGTTAAACAGTTAATCATTCAAACCTAAGACTAAAATTTACATTCTACCCAATTTTAAATATGAACCTTTGTACTGTTTTTGCTCTCCAAAACACACAGAGAGAAATGGACTATCACCGTCCCCTGTTTTGCTGATGGAGTCCATCATTCATGCTTTTGTACACGCACTCTCAGACAGCTCAGCCTGCCAGCATCACGCTGCATGCAGGTGTGTGATTTGAGGGGTTTTTGAAGTCGAGCACTCGGGTGAAAACCATCATCCTTTGACTCGAACCAGCTCCCTCTGCTCCTTCTGGATCCTTTCAGATATCACGACTCACTTTCTCACCTTCACAGGAATCTGGTTACCGACATTTATTTATTTAAAGCAGGAGAAACACCTTCCACTGATGTGCGAAAATAGCCTGAACCTCGCTATCCATCACATTTTAATTACTGCCAGTCTCATGAAACCTGCAGGCGTTTGAAAATGTTTCTAAATGTAAAGCCATCAATTCATATATATAAACATAACAGTATGCAATTGAAATCAGTATTGACCATTAAAACAAAGCATGCCTAACCGAGAGTGTTCTTTGATGAATTTCTTCAGAAACCTCTACAAAGCATTGAGAGTGAGATTTACTGAGCTCTTATCTCCATCAGCCAGCTGCTCTTTAACTCACACTCAGTCACTCAGAGCTGCACGTGGACGTGTTAACACGGCTTCATCCGCCCAAAAGTGAACACATGTCAGAGCTGCAGGAAAGCGATCTGGGCAAAGTACTAAGGTTACACAACGTCTGTCAGCGGGAGGGACGGGTTGGCTGTG